ATAGATATATAGATATATAGATATATAGATATATAGATATATAGATATATAGATATATAGATATATAGATATATAGATATATAGATATATATAGTGTCCCAACCCCTGGAATGCCCCAATCATGGGAGGAAGCTAGCTGATGAGAGCTAAATAGCTTGAAATAGATCTATACTAGTCTCTCTTTATTTATTTATCAGCACAAATACAACACCCACATATATATATACTCTGCAAAGGTATATTCAAAATATATAACATATATATTAAGATCGTGCTTCATATCACAAACATAGCATTAATTATAGCATTTCTTTATATCTCTGTACTAAACATGTTTAAGATGGATTCTAAATTGGTAACACTCCTATGCTTTTGATTGCTTACTAAATCTACATACATCTGATACTTCTTCATCGCAAGTACTCTGCATTGTTCATTTTACTAGATTATACATCTGCAGAATTATTAAAGAAATCCTACACTTAACGCAATCTTTGTAATATAAAGCACGATTCTATTACATAGGTGATTGATATAAACAATGCTTTAAATAGCATTCCAATTTACTATAATTTGGGACAATAGTTCTACTATAATGGTTTGCTTTAGTTTTCTGGAAAGCTGTAGACAATTTACAGTTCTTAGTGCATGCAGAGATGTATAAGCCCTTAAAGCTTATTACAGTATCTGGAAGGAAAACATTTTAACTTTGAAAGCCTCGTATCAAGGGCAGGTAACAAATATTCTATCCAAGTCTGTTTGGTTGTGCCCAGGAATAGAACCTGGATTTTAGAAAAAATGTATAAATTAGATGAAAAATAAAAAAATTTGTAGTGTTATACTGGAATTGATACTTTTCTACAGGAGACTGAAGAACTGAATATAAGGACTTGAGAAATTAATGAGCATGTTTTCTGGATATTATTTAGTTGATATTAATCATAAAATGTTGTTACAAATATATTTGACCATGCTTAGATCCAACCCTATCTTGAATTTTTCAAATGATTTCCCAACTTTTAGGTTTTTCATAAACTTTTCAGTTATCAGCTTTATACATTAAAATGCAAGGCTGGAATATATTTCATCCTTGTATCTTACCTTTTCAAATGTATTCAGTGTTGTATTTGCTATTATCATCTTTGCAAAATTCTTTATGAAATGTATAATATTTTCATTTTACAGGAACTAATTACTATGATGCTTCAGGTAGATATAGAACAGCGATTTTCAGCTTTGCAAGTGCTTGAGCATCCATGGGTTAATGTAAGTAAAGGTTGCTACTGGTTTTACTTTAGCCACACTGTGTTTTATTGCATTATTTGTCAAATCAGCTGGAATGCTGTTTTGGAAATATGAAATTTTTAAACATTATAGCAAAATGTAGGCTTATTTCCAATAATAACTTTTTCTGCATATATTCTGAAAATGAGTTTAAGAATATGCCAGACCCAGGATGGTGTTGTGTCTTCAGAAAGTGTAACTAACTTTCTGAGGTTTTGCCAATTCCATCTCACAGATTGGTTATAAAGAACCTGCCATATCAGGATACATTTTTTTCATTAAATTTAAAACTGAATAGGGCTGTAAAATTTGCCTGAAAAAAACCAGTGCATCAAACTAACCAGAAGAGGAGAAAGAACTCTGCATAAATAAGAGGGGGAGGAGGAATATCCAATGGCACTCCAAATAATCTGATTAAATTGCTCAGAAATTATTTTCCTTGCCTACACCAAAAAGAAAGACTAATTCAGATTGTGATATATCAAACTTATCCATTGCTACAATTCAGGCACAAATTTGCTCTTATAGTGTAATATAATAATTCTTTTACCTATCCCTCTTACATGAAATATTTAACATAAAGGGTTTTTATTATATTCTAATTAGAATTTATATACTTGTTGGTTTGATGCTCTACATATACGTCATATACCCATCTTTACTCAGCAGTGATCAATCTAAAGTTATTTCAGCCTGAAATATTACAAATCTACTTTAGTTCCATTTCTAAATAGAAAGGTGGTTATATTGAATAATTTTTATCAGTATCTACAAAATAAAACTTTCTATACTACTAGCCTCATTTTTATAGAGTACATTTATATGTGTTAAACTGTGCTTCTACTCTTCCACAAAATCAGAATACTGACACTCATTTATTATTCCAAAATTCACATGAATGTACATTTTATAAACTTGTTTCCAATTTCTCAGAATATTTATTAATTAAATTAATTTATTAAATTTATATACTGCCCATCTCACTACCTCGAATACTGATTTAGCAGCTTGCAAATTAGGCCTATGTCAGAATATTTATTATAATATTTTCAGCATTACGTGCAAGTATTCCACATAAATTATTCCAGTTGGAATTCAATACCTCCAGGATTTCAGAAAATCACGTAATTATTTTCAAGTTGAGTCAAAGATGAAATTATTCTGAACATCTTTATTCTAACTAAAACGTAAAGCTTAAGTAAACTTGAAAATGTAGAAAAATTAGATCCATCTTTGCCAATGTTTAATTTGAAAAAGCTTCATAGAGTTCCATTCTGTGAGATAACCAAAAGAAACAAAGCACAGCCTAGCATTCCAGTGTCGAAACTCTTAGTGAGATCAGTGATACAAGTCTGATTTTTCTCTTCAATTTATTTCATAACTAGGAAGGAACATTATGCACCTTTTATTTATGAAACTTTTAATATTTTCAAAATTTAGTGTGATTCAAGAGCAAGGCATCTTAAAATCACTATATTGCATTCCTAGTGTCATTACAAATACAAATCATTAATATTATTATGCAAAAATGATAATACAAAATATTGTGGCTGGACTTGGTAGCCACAGATTGTGTATACTTTAGAAATCAACTAAGATTTGTCAAAATTACTGTGGTGTTATATTGATGCATAAGGCAACTCCATAAGGCAAAGGGCCAAATGGTTCCATTTTAGTTTCAGTGAAAGAAGCCTGAAAACAGACATGTTCAGTTCTACTTTACTATCCCTTTGCTTCGGACGCTTCTGAATCAGTTTCTGACTTAAATATGTCTGATTTTGGATGAAGGGATGTAAACAAACCTTAGGTTTCTCTTAATCATTTTGTTATAATTTACTCCTTACATTACAAGCAAGGATATACCTGAACTTTTAGGTACAGCACAGTATCTTTTTGTGAAATATAATAATTGTTTTAATTCTGAATTCAGCATTTCAAAGGTCTTTAAATAGCTGAAAGGAATAAAACACATTATGTCTAAAATAGCTCAGAAAATATTGCTTTTATAAGTACAAGAATCTGGAAGTTCCTAATCAAGATTGTTTAATTGTTAATTGTATTAACAGCAGCTACAATTGTATTTGCACAATATTGGAAAAGTGAAGAGATTCCTACTGAAGAGAAGGTGATTAGGAAAATATTAGAATGTGCAGAAATGAATAGACTAACACTAGCAATTAAGAAGAAGGAACAAACTCATTATTATATGATATGGGAAACATTTTACCAATGGTTAGAAAATAAAAAGGAAATTGAAATAAAGGAAGAAGACAAGAAGAAGAATAGAAAATACATTAAGATAGAGATAAGAATAAAATGTCATGAGTATGATGAGAATAATCATGTTTAATGTTATTATTGTATTTTTATTAGAAGATATGTTAGGAAGGAAATGAAGAGTTACACAAGGTATAATTGTTCAATGTATATAATTTGTGGAAAGATGTTGCACAGAAATATTTGTACCCAGACAACACACTGCTTAAGGAGAGATGAAATGTTTATATTTTTTTAAAATGGAAAATAAATAAAAAAAACTTTTTAAAAAGATTGTTTAATTTTTATTTACAGTTGAATGAAATTATAATGACTGGTCTTCAAAATATATTTTTAAAAGGATTTTAAAAGGGTCACATAGAAAATGTGGAGTCATTCTAAAAAACTATATGGTTCATGAAATAATAATGTCGTTGAAATTCTTCAGGTTATTTTTTGATGTATGTAAGTGCCTCAATCTATTGAAATTAGTATGCCTTGTTTTTTGGGGTACCTTCAGGCATATTACTAAAGTTAAGGAGTAAATCATAGTAGAAAAGATGATTATAACTAGGAGTTATAATATTTCGGCATCTTCGGATAGGATTTTATTCAGGAGTTCTTACAGTTCATGATAAAAGGTTAGCAAACTGTTTGTAAAGTTTAGATTCACTAAATTAATTATATTTCTGCAAATTAAAAATCCTTGGGACACAATAATTTTGGAAAAATGACCACAAAATTGTTAAAGTCCTCAAATGAATTACTTGCTTTTGTTTTGTAGGATGACGGCCTTCCAGAAACTGAGCATCAGTTGTCAGTAGCTGGGAAGATAAAGAAACATTTCAACACAGGCCCTAAACCCAACAGCACAGCTGCTGGAGTTTCCGTTATAGCAGTAAGCATCTACAATGCATTTTTTTCTCCATATTTAGAAAATGATTGTTTTTTAGGACCCCCTCCCCCATGTTCAATTAATGTATTCAGTTTTAATTGCAGTGAAAAACAGATATTGTGTTACCCCATCATTGGGAAATCACACTTTTTAATTGCTTCATCATCGTAAGCTGCTAGGCAGCATACATATTTCTTACTGAAAATCAGTCCATATGAAGAGAGAAATTCAATACACATTCACTGTGATGAACATTTAAAGAACATTTCAGAAGAAGAAAAAAAATCATATCCCAATTATAAGCAAGAGACACTTCATAATGAACTAAATAAGCATGTAAAGTATAAAGAAATGCAGCCATTTTGGACATAGATATGGCTACCTACTTAATTTGATTTGGCCATATCATGTGAATTGGCTCAATGTTGGGTCACTACAAAGGCTCCCAGTTTCACTATGCCACACAAGGCTAATCCATGCAGTGTTCTGTGTTTGAGAGATTGGTACCTGCACTGTCAGCTCAGCTGAAGATCAAGGTATTAGTTTATCTAAAATTTCCTTACCCGAGAAATTTTAGGATTTTCTCTAACTGTAGTGAAACTGTAGTAGCCATAATGAATTCCATTTTTAATGACACCAAAAAAGTTTATGATGACTTGCTATGACATAGACCAGAGGTGTCAAGCTGGTGTTGTCATGTGATGTATGGTGACTTTCCCCGCCCTTCGATAAAATGGTGAGCGTGGCCATGTGACTCATCCGGCCTGTGGGCTGCAAGTTTGACACCCCTGACATAGACAGACACACAGATAGATATATATAGATGACAGACAGACAGACAGACAGACAGACACATAGACAGAGTCATCATAAAATCATATCCTAGAGTGGAAATAGAGATTAATCTATTGGTGTATTGTTTTTTATATTCTGGGATACATTTAGATATATGCTCATGAATTTTTATTCCATTTTAAGTAGCTTTATTTTGCATGCAATTTGACTAAATGCTTCCTTCCAGGCAGAAGTTAAAGTGATTTGAGATTTAAATAGAGTCAACCTAAGTCTTTCAACATGCTACAGTTGTATAGCAGGACATAGTATGGGAGATTATGAGACCTGTTTAATATATCATCTGCATATCATAGTGCAAATGGAAATGAACCAGGTTCACTTTGACTCTTTGCCAAGAATATATATATTTAAACCATACATTTAATAGTAGTGAAATGATTAGTATTTGTTGATCACTCGAACGTATGCAGGATGTACGATTCTACTAATAAATATAATGGAGTAGTCAATTTTTTTAAATGTTCCCATCTTTTTTCTTTAAGTCTGCCTACATTTTAAGCTTCCTTCCATAATTATGCCTCCCTGAACCATGCTCCAGACTGAAACATCATAATGATTCATTGAACATGCTCATTTACTGCATTAGACTGATCAGAGTTTCTTCCCTAGCTTCACTAAATTGTAGCTGGTACAACCAGCCATTGTAGGTGGTACACTTTGGGTAGCTGTTGTATTAGTCAGAGGCTGATTTAAAGTCAGCAGAAGTAAAAACAAACAAACCCCAAACTCATTTGGCAGAATTGGCAAATTCACCCTCCTTAGCATGGAAAATAATTTGTCATCTTTTTCTTACATTTGGACCCTATTGTTCCTATTACATTAACGGCATCATCAAACATACTGTCAATATTTTTTTAATTGGGAAACCACCATAGCTTTCCCACAACTAAAACATCCCATTCTATGCATTTTTCATATGAATTGCCAGGTATATGCTTAACGGTCCAGCTGAAACTCTTTTCAATTGGACTGCCAGCACGCTTGCCCGTGAAATGTACCGCTCAGTTCTTCTAATCTGCACTGTTTTTCATAGTTCTTACAACTCTTCAGAATGCTTTGCTAGTACCTTTTGCACCCATTTTTGCCTTCTTTATTGTGTTTACTTTTGTTTTTAAAATTTAATTTGCAAGATTTGCAGTAAAATTTGTTGTTTTCAGTAGCTCAAATATTTTAAATAAGAAAAGGTATTGCGTTGCAGCTTCAAACTGAGAATAAAAAAATGCTATGAGAATAAAGAAATACACAGATCTTTGCATTGTGTTTAGCATTGTGTTATTTTGGCACCTTATCAATTTTCTATTGGGCTTACATTATTCTATAGTTCCCCATCGCTTTGGTTCATTATAAATTTGAACAAAAACCCTGCAGTTCCATTTAACTTTTTTAAAACGTTGCTGATATGTTTTTGCTAGATGATACTCAAAAACTACTCTAACTTCCATCAACTTTACAATTCAATATTAATAAATAAAATGATATTTATTAGTGCTTCTAATCCAGTTCAAATGTACTGTTCTGTGTGTACCCAGATATTGTAATGTTTAAAATGTTTCTATGTGGGCTGGAGTCCATTATGTATGTTACCTCATACCCAGTGATGGGTTTCAAAATTTTTTAGAACCTCTTCTGTAGGTGTGGCCTGCTTTGTGGGAGTGGCTTGCCAGCCATGTGACTGGGTAGGCGTGGCCAACTTGTAAAATGTGATGAAACTCACTTAACAATACTCTTGCTTAGCAACCAAAATGTAGACTTAGAACTCTGGCATTTGAAGCATGCACGTCTAAAAGCTGTCAAGTTACAAGACCCTTGCACCCCTAACCCTTTAAAAAAAAACCAGGGGTGTTCAAACTTGAGAGCTTTAAGACTTATGGACTTCAACTCCCAGAATCCCTCCTCTCGCTCTTCATCCTGGTGATGTGCAGACGGGCAGGGGGAGGGAGCTGGAACCTGTTCTAAATGGCACTGTAGATTTGTGGAACCTCTTCTATAGAAGAGGTTAGAACTGGCAGGAACCCACCCCTGCTTGTAGCTCAATAAAAATGTCAGATAGCAATAGCAATAGCATACAAACACACACACACAAACACACACACACACACACTCGCTCACTCACTCACTCATTCCATAGTGCTTTACAGCAGGGCTCTCCAACCTTGGCAACTTTAAGACTTGTAGACTTAAACTCCCAGAATTCGTCAGCCAGCAAAGCTCCACAAGTCTTAAAGTTACCAAGGTTATAGACTTCCTGCTTTAGAGCATTCACTGAACAGTTTATAATGTCAGCATATTGGTGTCAACAATCTAGGTTCTCATTTTACCCACCTCGGAATAATGGACGGCGGAATAAACCTTGAGCTAGTCAGGCTAAGGGCAGAGTTCACTTACAATACTGCATTCTAGCCACTGTGCCACCACAGCTCCTAAAATGGACGTAAATGCAGTACAAGTAGTCCTTCAATTAATACCTTAATGGAGCCATTATGATTATAAGTCATGATGACCTTAAAGCAGATCATCCACATGACCAAGCCAATTAATCAACCTTTTTTGGGGTGGTCATTAAGTGAACACCACAGTCATTGAGCAAATCAATTGTTTGCTATGGGCCAGTTTTACCAAAACTCAAAAAGGATTGCCAGGTTTTGGCAAAAATCTGGTAAAATGTGGTCACATGATTTTGGGACACTTTAAATGACTTTAAATGTGGGCCAGTGGCCAAACAATTGACACGAGATCATGTGACCACAAGGGGTGACTGAGGGAAATTCAGAACTAGGGAAGTGATTTCAAATGGTTGCTAAGGTCTACTTATAATTAAGCACAACTTAATACAGGAGGGAAACTAAATGTAGGCTTGAAGCCTGGATTTAGGCTTAGAAAGGGCATGCTGAATATATAAAATCTAAATATTGGCTTCTGTATTCACAAAGCTTCCCCATTTGCTTTAAATGTGATGGAGTGTTCATTCTTCTTATAAATATAAGGTTTGCCATTCTATTTTTTTCCACAAAAGAATGGCACTCATAAGATAATACAAAAATAAAGGATAAAATGATTTAGCATATGACATAACATAAGAGAATATTTGTAGCTCAGGAGTGAATCCTTGGTGCTCTCTAACATGACGGTTATTTTTGCCGAAGTTTCATTCATGATGATGTTATCTAGTTTGGTAATCAAATGTCTGGAAGAAAACCACCAAGTTCAGAGAGTACCAAGGACCCTGTACTGTAATGGACCCTGGACCCGTTACAATATGAGATCTGGAACATTACAGGGATATTTAAGGATTTAATAATATAATCATTATTAAAGCAGTTCAGAAGTTTAAACCACAATCGTTTAATAGTATTTACTGATCAAAAGTGTCTAAATCTTTCTCTTCTCCTGAAGTTCACTGAAGCGGTATTCTGGATTGGGTAAGAAGGTCAATTCCTACCGCAAGCTTCCATCTTCTTCATATTGGCTTAATGAAAGGGTCTCTTTCATTAAAATGTCTTATACAGAAGTATAGGTAGCCTTATATTTAGATTCTTGTATTTAAAGATTGCCCTGTATCTACATTACTGCATGTCTACACATTAAGAAGCCAAAGCTGCTCATGGAGTTCCAAATCACATACACTACATAATAACATGCAGCACCATTCCCATCATTGGTCTTATAACAAACTGCCCACCTTTTTCAATCAACCCACCCTTTAAATGTGGCATTTTTAAAATCAGCTCCCCTTCCTGAAACTCTAAAATAAAAGTGAGCATACTTCTGACATTTTTAACATTGACTATGAAATTGTATAGCAGCTGTTTAGAGTCGCTTTTCTTTTACAGATTTTGTAGAAGTTCATTTTACCCAATTCCTCTTGACACTGGAAGACTGAAAGATTTTCAAAGAAAATTATCTTTTAAAAATGAAAGGCAGTTGACATTTTAGTGAGTCTGATGGCATATTCGCATCTCTCTTCCATTCCCTCTGTCATCTGTAGACATTTAAATGGAAAATACAATGACAAACTTTGTTGAGTACTGTTAATATTGATATTTAGGCACTTATCACTTCATCTGCCATTTATGCAAATGCATATTAAATATTAATAGGTTTTTCAAATTTTATTGAACAAATATGTTTCTAAACATCCACTTTTCAGA